TAAAAAATAAAAATAAAAATAAAAATAAAAATAAAAATAAAAGAAGCAATGTATTGTCTATGTAAGCTCATGCATTATGTGTAGCGTCATTATCGTAGAATCCCTATGATAGCCATATAGCCAAGTCCTCGCATGCATCCAATTTACCTGTTTCAATAATCCGCAAAACCCCGATTCGCATCGTAGGCCCTTCCAAAAGGCCACAAAAGCCAGTCCATGCAAAAACGAGGCATCCAGTGCTCCTCAGCGCGCATTAAACAAGAACTTAAGCTCACTAACGCCCAAACGACCAATCTTCATGCTCTCCGTCTCGTCGAGCGCCGCCTCCACAATCTCCTTCTTCTTGTTCTGGAGCGCCACGATGCGGTCTTCTACCGTTTCCTGCGTCAGGATCCGATACACCTCTACTTCCTTCTGCTGTCCTATGCGGTAGGTCCGGTCAATGGCTTGCATTTCAATGTACGGGTTCCAGAAGGGATCCATGATGATGACGCGACTCGCGGCCGTGAGGTTTAGGCCTGCGTTGCCGGCGCGGAGGGACACGAGCATGACATTGTACTCGGGCCGGTCTCTGAAGTGTTTAGCTGCAGTACTGCGTTCGTCCCCGGACATGCTGCCGTCGTACCGAATGGGCTTTTCTGGGAATTGCTCGTGCCACATGGCCACTTCTAGGAGATCTAGGAGCAACGTCCACTGGGAAAAGATGATGGTTTTTTCGCCGGTTTCTCGGATTTCTCGGAGCAGCTTCATGCATTCGGTGACTTTGGCTGCTGGCATCCATGTCTTGCGTAGGTATGCCATATATCGCTTATGTGCTCTGTGGTTCTTGGCTGCCTCTAGACGAAGGCTCTTGAGCATGGATGGCTTGACGTCTGGCTTCTTCTCTTTGCTTTTTGCCTTCCCTTTGCCTTTATTATTAGCCTTCTTGGTCCGTTTTCGCGCTTTCGTGTCGCGGGCGGAGACCTCCTTTGTTAGGTTGTCAATGTCGGCAAGCTCTTCGTCGTCATAGACGATAAATCCTTTAAGGTTCCCTTTGCTATCAATCTCATCTGACGCATACCCGTCTTCCGAGCCGTCTTCGTCGTCCTCGCTAGTGTCATCGTACTCTGGTTCGATTTTCGTTGACGATTCCAGAGTGTCCGGCATGTGGACTTTCTTGAACAAATCATAAGTGAAACATTTTCTTGGCTCGAAAACGCCTCGACACACAGGGCACTTAGCCTTGTCACTCTCGTTGCCTTCGTGGAGGTTCTGTGAGATGGCATTGTCTACGATGCGAGATAGACAATCGTTGCAACTGTCATGGCCGCATGGTATGAAAAATGACGGCGATTGTACTGCATCATAACATATCGGGCATTCGAATGCTTCGACACCCTTGATTCTCTCTACGATAGATGCATCCAGTTTCTTGACAAGTTCCTCCACATCAGCACTGCTGACGGGATTGACTGCGTCATCGACGTCCAAGTTGAGATGAGGATGACAGCATGCTTGCCGCAGTCGAAGGAGCAACACGAGAATGCTGGAATAATTCTTTCCAACACTCCCCTCTCGAAGGTACTTGCTGAAAACCACTTGGGCCTTTTCCTCAAGTTGTTTGTAAAAGTCTCGCTCGTCCACGGATAGCTCCGCATATACAATGTGCTCCGTCTTCGGAGGAAGTTGCAAGATTGGCTTCCCGTCTAACTGGGAGTCCTTCTTTCGGCGAAGCATTATTGCTTTGAGCAGTGCTCGAAGCTTGTTCATGGCAATGCTCTTAGGGTCGCCTCTCTGGCCGAATAATATTCCAAACGTCCATGTGGAGGTTAGCTCAGATGGTCCAAACCCACTAGGCAATTTGATTGCTTACCTGACGGAAGTTCTCCCATGTATTATACGGCTTTATACGCAGGAATTTTAATAGGGAATAGAGCTCAAGAATGCCATTCATCATTGGGGTGCCAGTCAAACACCACCTATAGGTCGCCCTTAAGCTGTGACAAGCTTTTGCTGTTTGGGTATTCCTGTTTTTGATGCATTGCGCCTCGTCCAAGATGATGCGATGAAAGACAGCTTTCTCTGGGTGTAGCAGCGGGAACTTGGCCATACAAGATTTATCATTAAAGTTGATATTCCTGTCTTTGTTTTCTTCAATGAATTTCTCACGGCGCTTGAGTTCTTGTGCCAAAGTGCCATAGGTTGTGAGCACAACGTCATACTTCAGGAGCTCATCGGTCGTCGTTTTTTTGCCGTGATACACATACACCGTAAATCTATGCGCGAGCTTGGTCTTCTTTTGCAATTCCTCTTCCCATTGTCGAATCAACGAAAGAGGGCCGATAATTAAGTTTGTCTACACTATATGTAAGTGAAGTGTCTTGGAATAATGGTGAGATTATACGCAATTCACCTTTGGGCGAGATGTGGATCGGTTAGAAAGCATGAGTGATAGGGTGGAAATTGTCTTGCCTAGTCCCATGTCGTCGGCCAAGATACCGCCCTTATTGGTGCCTTCTTCCATTTGTTTCATCCAAGTAAGAGCAACTTCTTGGTGGCGGTAAAGGGGGTACTTAAGCCCAGGCGGACCAACCCCGCGATTATGCTCTGGAATATCTATATCAGGACGAATGTTGGCCAATAAGTCTTCCAACTCCTTTCCCGTCACAGGCGACTCATGAGCATCGTCTGAGAGTACATTTGTCAGACGACTAGGCAGTGGATTGCCATATGAATCAAGCCCGTTTGTGAAATCAAAAGTGCTAGTTTGTTCGATGATATTTCCAATACTAGAGCCATTATTTCCCGGTAGCCATGGAACCCCATTGAACGGAACTCTCGACGATGAGAGAGGCTGAAAGGCGTTCCTAATAGCCGGGTTCGAAAGCTGGTTTCTCATGGTAGAATAAGGGGAATTTAGCTGAGTATTGGGCCCCGAAGGGCTCTGGCGATTTCCACTAGGTGAGTTTATGCCCGCAACTTGGAATCCGTTACTAGGTAACGGAGCTGGAGTTGGAATAGGAGATCTATCCCATGGGCTTGGGTTGTCCCAGCTTAGATCATACGACCCCGGCATTGAGGCTCCCTTCATATCTGTAGGTGGTGTTGGCGTTTGAGTACTAGATGTCGGCAAAGACTGCCAGTTCCATCCTGTTGGCCCTCCTGTGTTCGCTCGCTCCGTGGCCATGATCCTCGAAAAAGCGTCCATCTCATCGGAAGCCATGTCCGAGGACGATGACGGTACCACGGGAGTTTGGCTAGCAAGTTGCATCGCCATTTGCCGGTCTCGGTTCTCTCGTTCTTGCCGCTGCTGCTGCCGGATTTGTTCGGCGACCATGGTGGAATCGAAGTCGACATCGTCACTGTTGTTGTTAGCATGAGAGCAAGTTATTGCATAGCTACAGGCACAGGCATACCCAGTGAGATCAATAATATCAATAGGTTCGGTGTCGTTATATTCCACGGCTTGCCTCGAAGGGGTAGAGGAACGGTTGCCTCCGGGAATAGGAGTTGTACGTCTAGACTTATTCTGCCTATCGACTGTAAAACCATCGGTCGCTCGAATGTCCCTTTTTCTACTTGGTAAAGATATTGATGATGGGCTATCCCAGATGTTGTGATAACTGGGGGAAGAATCCATCTTCATCGAACGCCCGCCTGTCGCAACTGGAGTTATGGGTTGAGGGCGTGGAAGTTCTGTATGCTCATCGGTTAGGGATGTGGGAAAAATGTGTGTATAAAAGATGCAGGAGATGCTTCTGCTATATCATCCCGTAGCAACGTTTGCCTCTGCTCCGTGTGACGAAGAGGGTGCGTTGTGCAAGGAAAGATTCACTGCCGTCGTTCTCGGGCACTTGCCTGATCATGCAGCCGGCACGATGCAGTTCATACCAGCTGGCAAGATTAGGTGTTGAAATGCAGTGGGGTGTAGTAGATGCAAATTTGAGTCTTGTGATCAGAAAATGGAGTACAAACAGTCAACTGGTTCGTCTGGTGGCCCGGTGAAACATGACAGGCATTTCACACCGGCCGACTGTGTAGAACGTGAATAACTTCACGGGCTTTGGTTGTAAAGACGGCTTTTCTAGAGCATAAAAAAAAAAACAAAAAAAAAAACGCACTCACTGTTTGATGAGCCCGACGGAGATCGCTTTTGTGATGCAGAGCGGCCAACATCTAAAAGAAAAGGTGTTAGGCCGTAATGAGGGTGATGTCATAGGGTTTCAAGTTCTGCTGCTGGTATCAAGCAACACACATCATACAAATCATAAGGGATACGACTCACCAGTTTTATCGTCGGTAGGTGCCTGTGCCTTTTGACTCAGCTTCTTGATAAGACGCTTCAGGCGTTCAATATCCTGAAGGACTTGGTTCCGCTCCTCCTCGATACCGTCCCATGTCTGGTCTTCCAGAGAGCTGAGTATGACCTGTTGGACGGTCAACTCCTCCATGGCATCCTCGATTCCACGGTCCATGATTGATGGACTTGCCATATCCACCCCTTAAAGTCCTGCAAACAAGGCAACCAAGACGCAGGCATCCGTGCACTTCAGACAATGAGGCGAGCTGTGGAACCCAGCACCGCCCCGACACGTCACGGAAACAGCTGGAATTTTAGTTTGAGGAAAAAGTGAAGTAGCGCCGTACTCGCTGTACCAGAGAAGCGAACGGAGTGTGGAATGCAAGATTTGTTGAAGCAGTTGGCTGGCCAAACTCCTCGAATGCGATGTCGCTCTCACAAATAATGACAACGAAACAGTTTAATTGATCCACCAGTTGGTGGCGCGCGGGACCAGCCTCGTGTGACGCGTCTCGACGCGACTACCATTGGCGGCATGTCCAAGAAATATGGGTCCCGTGCGTGACAGCCCACGACTCCACAGCCAGCGGCTTCACTCACTCGTGAACTTGGAAAGTGCAGAGTCTGCAAAATGCAAAGTGGAAAATAGACAACAATCTTTGTATTTGCAAACCTTGCATTTCACTAAGAGAAGCCTGCTCTATTGTTCCAGGCCATTCTAAGGAAATCCTGAATGTCCGTGCTCTCCTCCAATCCCGAAGAGCACGTACGACTGCTGCTTATCATGCCATCTGAATTTAAACTGACATCTGGATGACGGGCCTCTGCCGGTCCAAGGGACGAAATGGTCATCGTGGCGTGAGATATTTGCCCAATAAAAACAATATATTGTACTTGGTTCCCACCACGTCAACTCAATACTGTTGAAATCTCAGCACCAGGACAGCGCAGCACCCTACTCTGCTTTGTCAAGATTAACATCATGTCCCCAGAAAACAAACTCGCCAGCCAATGATTATTCCAACGTTGGAGTTTCGTTCACCTCTCGTCTCGTAATCTGTCGTAGAGGTGAGTTTGCACATGGCTAATTTTAAACAGCATTTGGAATATCCACAAGGGGTCAAGTCAGCATCGTAGTAAGGTTATTCTTATCGCTCAAGACCAGAAGTCTTGTCCCATGTTATAGCGAGATACGAATGTTTTCTTTATTTTTGCCGTCAATATTCAATCCTGTGTCATCCATCCTCCGATTGAGTTGTCTTGCTTTCAGGGCGTCTCACGATACACCAGTTGACAATAGACTCTGCGAGAATCTCCCCCAGCATGACCTCTTATTAGCAAGAAGTCGGCTGTGCAAGCCACAGCCTGTAGCATAATATAGTTGCCTCTCAACAAGTATCCATTAATCATTGTGGTATAATAGAGCGCAATAGCCAAGTACCTCGTCTACTCAATATTTTTTGCATCCCACCGTACGTAGTTCAACAGTTCCAGCCTGTCGCGTATTACCAGACGTCAATCAACCCAGTCAAGCCCGCGAGCCAAAAGGACCGGGCGACCCTAAAGTCAAGTTAGCTTATCCGAGCCACACCCTCGCCAAGAGTCATGGATATGGAGCGCTACCCAACCAATACGAGGCATTATAACATGACAGCTAGAGACGTCCAGGAAATGATGAGCACGCCGACAAGCCGTCCGGCGCCTGGGTCCTTGACAATCTAGATCGCGGGGCATTTTGCCCAATCCTTGCTGTTGTACGCCGTACCTGGTTAGCCAGAGTCATGTCGATGACACGGTGCCATGGACGGTGCCGGGGTTAGGGTGATTCCTTGTTACTTGCCTCGGAATAGAAGAAATTACATGGCAAACTGGTGCAGTGGACTGGTGGACAGTTGAATGCAGCCACAATGCAAGAAAGGCCACTTTTGAACATGCGATGATATGTCTGATGGGGTGGACGAGCGAAGACGGGAGAGACGGGGAGACAGAGAGACACGGACAGGGGCACTACGCACTGAGAACCCGGCCGGATAACGGCAGCAATAAGACAGAACTAAATATCCAGTCTGGGGGACATGAGGGGAAAGTTGTTGAACGGACCATGACTAGGACGCACAATTGAAGTTGGGCAGCCAAGATTGACGGCATCAATTGATCTCGAAAAAGCCGTCCAGCGACGTCTTGCTGCTAGCTTTGCCCCTCTTGGAGTAGCCACCTGGCATCGGTCTTTGGAACTGCTCCGGAGTTCGGACGACATCTGGCTTCTTGGCTTCCCCCACGATTTTCCCACCAACTCTCGAGTCTTGACCCACTGGCAAGTCTCCGCGCGGCGCAGTCGTGCGGATAGTTGGTCCGGATCAAGCATTCATTCATTTGAACAAAAATTTTCCTTTCCTTCAGCTCTTGACGAATGGTCAATTTCTCGAATGTCCGCTTGACAGCTGTGACTTATGAGCCCAGGGTCGCGTCTGGCCTTTTGCGGGTGGCAAAGGATCACTCTGCCGCTTGGCTATGCAGGAACAAGGAATTGGTAGTATCATGTATGTATGGCGTCGTCGGCACCTACAGAACGTCGAAAACAGCCAAGCGATACCGATGCACAAAAAATTTGGATAGTTCCTGACTTTGGGCTGGCACCACCAGGCACAGTCACGGGCCAAATGTAGCAAAGGCCGCATGGTGGAAGACAGGCACCCTCACCTCATCCCGCCAGTAAGCCTCTAGAAACCGCTTCGATCTTCGGTCTTTGGTCTGCATGCCCCTGACAATCTCCCCTGCAGGAACGAATAATCATCCATGGCTGGTGGCTAGTGGCTGCAGACCGATGACCACTTTGGCAACTTCACCGGGGAACCTGTAGCGGTGCAGCAAGGATCACGATTTCCGCTTCAACAAACGTCACCTTCCAAAGATGCGGGGGGTATAGACTGAAGGAGACGACATCTGGACGCTGCCGACGCTGCCGACGTTGGGGTGAGCTGCCCGATCAATCCGGCCGTTAGCTCAAGGTGATGGCCTGTCTGTATTGAACTCGAACTCGCTACGGCGATAGGATCATAGACCCGGGGCATCGCGATCTCGGCTTCTCACACGATGAGAGAATTCGTGGCATTTTCAATTTCACATGCGCAGTACGGAGTACAGTGACACTGTTGCTCTTTCCATGTAATATCTCAAAGATTCCCGTAGGAAAAGCTGAAACTGACGACGTCAACCTGTCATCTCAAGGAAACGCTCGATGTGGACTCTTCCAAGGCATTCGACTACCCGGGAATGCGTATCCGTATTCATGCTGCATATGCTCAACCCCGAAGACACCACGATGCAGCCCACTTTAAGAGGCTTGCTCTTGATTGCGATTGGACTCCCCGTCGATGGCTTCTTTTCTACTGTTGGCGAGATACAGTCTTCCTTGGTTTGATAGCCCGCCTTTCGGGCTTCTCAAGATGCAGGTCCCCCTGTGAGCGCAATCTAAGTGGTACTCGATCACTGGATGCTCTCCCGTTAATAATCAGTTGTAGTTATAAAGCACCCGTGGGGGACACCCACTCTCTGGACTGGTTCTGGTGACTGCTTTCACTCTTTTCTGAGCTAGAAGAACTCGTCCGACTCTTCAAGCTGCTGAAGTAATCCCAACTTCTAGTCACTCGTTATTTGGCGATCTGTACGGGGCATTTTGATCTAATCTTCAAGTCGACATGAAGTTCGTTGCTGTTGCCTGTCTGGCTACCAGCGTTGCGGCCGGTGTCGTCGACCCTTCTGCCGCGGTCGTTGAACGCGATATCAATGCCATCACAGACGTCATGACCGAAGTTGGCCACGGGCTCGACAATCTCGATGCTCAAGTCAAGGGATTTACAACCGACCCTAAACCGGTCGAGGATGCTGCAGCCGCCGTTATTCAGACACTGCAGAGAGGGAAGACTACGGTCGATGCTCAGCCCGATCTGACATTGGGTGACGCTCTCGGCCTTCAGGACCCCGTCAAGACTCTGCAGGTCAAGGGCGAGACCCTGCTCGCTGATCTCAAGGCAAAGAAGAATGTAATTGAGAATGGGAACTATTGTGCTCTCGTCCGCAAGCAGACCATCAATATCAACACCTACTCCAACGCACTCATTGACGCCACGGTCTCCAAGGTTCCCGCTATTGGGCAGGGCATTGCCAAAAACATCGCTGCCGGTCTCGTTAAGGTGTTGCAGGAATCTCAGAACGAGTTCAATGAGAAGAACTGCATTGATAAGAGGCCACCGCCTCAAGCGACCACTAAGGGCCAAACCACCGAGACTACGACCAAAAAGCCGCACATGACGACTTCTGAAGAGCCTTGCACCGAGACCGAGACTACCACCCAAGGTCATCATACTACGGACAAGCCTCATCACAGTACTACCTCTGAAGAGCCTTGCACCGAGACCGAAACCACCGAGAAGCCTCACACCACGAGCAAGCACCATCACACTACCACTTCCGAGGAACCCTGCACTGAAACTGAGACGTCAACTCAGGGCCACCACACTAGTACCAAGCATCATCACACTACCACGGAGTCTTGCGTAGAGACTGAAAGTACGACCGCTGCTAGAGGTACCACCACTAGCTCTGGTGCTGGCATTACTTCTACTCCTTCTACAAAGACTGAAAACACGACGGCTCCCGGAAGCACATCTACAAACTCTGGTTCAGCTTCTGTTTCCACTCCTTCCACCAAGACGGCAACTACGACAGCTTCTGGGGGCACTACAACGTCACCCGCCATGACCATCAGCACCGCGTACACTACCAAAACTTACACAATCTCGGAATGCCCTCCCACCGTGACTAACTGCCCCGTTGGTCACACTACTACGGAGGTCATCCCGGTGTACACCACAGTATGCCCTGTTACAGAGACTGTTCAGACCCCTAAGCCTACAACTTTCAAGGCTCCTATTATGACCACTAGCACGGTGTATACCACCAAGACTTACACTATTTCCGAATGCCCTCCCACCGTGATCAACTGCCCTGTCGGTCACACTACCACCGAGGTCATCCCCGTGTATACCACTGTTTGCCCTGTTGAGGAAACCCAAACACACACGGTTGTGCCTACCAAGCCTACTGGCGGCCAGAACCCCCCTCCTCCTCCTCCCCAAGAAACTACATTCGTGACGGTTCCTGGTAAGGCTCAGCCCACTGGAGGCAACGGTGGAAACCCGCAACCTACCAGCGGTAACGGCGAGAACCCTCAGCCAACCGGCGGCAATGGAGGCAAACCCCAGCCCACTGGTGGTAACGGTGAGAGCCCTCAGCCTACGGGAGGCAACAGTCAAAACACTCAGCCAACCGGCGGTAATGGAGGCAAACCTCAGCCCACTGGTGGTAACGGAGGCAATCCCCAGCCTACTGGCGGTAACAGCGAGACCCCTCAGCCCACTGGTGGTAACGGAGGCAATCCCCAGCCTACTGGCGGTAACAGCGAGACCCCTCAACCCACCGGTGGCAATGGAAGCAACCCTCAGCCAACTGGTGGTAACGGGGGCAATCCCCAGCCTACTGGTGGTAATGTAGGCAACCCTCAGCCTTCCGGAGGCAGCGGCGGAAACCCTCAACCTAGCAACACCCCCGTCACCGCTGGTGCCGCTTTTGTTGGTCCTGCCACTGCGTTTGCCCTTGCAGTTGCCGCCCTGGTTGTTGTGTAAACCGAACGAAGTGCGGGTATAGACAAAGTGAAGCAGGTTCTATGATGAGAGAGTTTGGGCCAGACGCAGCGTATATAGAACAATTGAACGCAGTTAGTATCACGACCCGTATATATGTCCTAGTTCTCCTTCACAGCAACAGCAACACTTGGAGATCCGACCAAGACGTCGAGTTTGTTTCTCGAGGGCTAATGATGCCAGTAACGCTTAAAGGAACCAGGATTTGAACAAGGGATTGGGCACTGTAATTGCCATAGTTGGCGGGGACTTTATCCAATGTTGAGCGCAATCGCCTGCCCAAAAGCCCCCAGGTGCCGTGTTATTTGCTACAACCTTGGTAGTTGTCTCTGACCAGCACCAATCGCCAGTGGACAGCGAGGCGTCGTTTGATATGTAACCATGTGCCGGAAGCAAGTTGGACTCACCCGCGGGTTCTGAACTCCTTTGCCAAACGGGCATGCCTAACCTCACAAAGACTCTGCAACGTTTAAGAATTCATACATCAAACTATCGTGAATGGAAATGTGAGCAGGGTTATTGCATCATTGTGTTTGTTTTGTGCTCCGGCAGCGTACCGAGCCAAGGCCGACTTGGCCGTTCAAATTCAACGGACCTGCATGCCCGGCATGCATCTCATCAGGGTGAGTTTCTGTAGCATCCCACGCCGTGGGGCTCACGAAACGCAGGCATAATGGCAGCAGACGCAACGGCCGTTCGCGGTATATGGTCCCGGAGCCCTTGCTGCAAGGGTTGGGCCAAAACTCCGACAATGTATCAAAGGCTGTTTTCGACGAGCAGGTCCCTGACCCGGGCGTGTTGGCATGGAGGAGACTCCGCAGCTGGTCCTCGGTTGAATTCAATGACTTGATTGCTCAGAGGAACGAGAAACAGACCCCCTCCGTATCGGAATCGTACTGCGGAGCAAACTTATGCATGTCAGTTGAAGGCTCGAGGTTCTCTACAGACAGAATTGCACGAGATACGCCATCGTTGCTTCAGTAATGGCAACGAACAAAGTGAGCATTAATACATATCCAGCTACCCGGAGCCGGTGATCCGATCCCATATCCCGCCGACGGCGTCCGTAATCCAACCCCACCAACCCGTTACTGTGTCTCCGAGCGACCCGTCCTCGTCAGCCACTTGTTCGTCGTCCCTGTTTCCACGGCCCTTTGTGGGTTCCGCCGCTGGTTCTTCTGTGCTAGATGGCTTAGGAGGCCTCGTGGGCCGTTTTGGCTCATCAGCAATTGCCGGTGAAGAAGAGGCTTTAGGCTTCGTCGGCCGCGTAGGCTGATGGGTATCAGCCGCCGGCAAGGACGGCTCGGAAGCGGATGCACTCGACGGCGGCGGCGGCAGATCAACGCCAATCGCCGGCGAAGATGCCTGGGGTTTGGTCGGCCGCGTGGGGACAAACTCCGTAGGGTGAACCGACGACTCTTGCGGCGGTGGGGGATCCTCGGGCGTTTCTGGTGGTTTTGTGTCATCATGGGTGCCGACTGGTTTCAGCGGCAGTCTCAGAGTTCCGTTGTTGGGCTGCGGCTCTATGCCCAGCGAGTCGCATAAGATGTTGTACACTTCGAGATTTTCTGCGCCAATAGTCGCGTTAGCGAAGCTGCTTCCCGTGGCAGAGACAACCAACCAAAAAAGAAAGAAAGAAATGGAGGGGGAGTTAACTGACGGAACGGCTCGACCCTGCTATTCCCCTGGTGAGGAAACGCTGGTCCTCGAGCGATAAAAATAGCTCTCATGAGAGGGTGTTGATGATCGTAGCCGTGCAGGCCGCGAGGATGGTAGACGAGCCCCTTCTCCTTGGCTTCATTCACCGCAAACTCATCCTTGGTGGCAATCGCCCATCCTACCTTGGGTACTATCCACAACGGCGCGATGCGGTGGTTGTTGGAGAAGTGATACCGCTGGGGCATGTCGACATCGCGGAGGTAGACGTCAAAGTTGGGGTTAGACTCGGCCTTCTCCTTAAGTTCATCGTATAGTTGCCGGGTATCTTTGTCGTCCTTGGGCCGCAGACCATACAGTGGCCAGCCGTCTGTATGCTCAATCTTGGACGTGTCAACCAGGTCCTCGAGCTGAAGTACACGGGAAGTGTCCGTAGTTGCCATGCCGTGGTCAGACACAACAATGACATTCACGATATTCGTCAGGTTGCGGGCGTCGAGACCCTTGGAGAGGTTGTCAATCATGGTGTCGACGCTTTGAATCGTCGACATGATTTCCGTGCTGTTGGGGCCATACTTGTGACCGTCGGTATCGACATTGGGTACATACGCCGCAATCAGTTGCGGTCGTGTATCCTTGACATCAACGGCCGGGTTCTCCTTGCCCGGCATGTCGAGGAAGCCCAGTACTCTGGAGACTTTGCTGTCCAGCGGCTCGTTGCCGTTGTATTTATCGACGATGCTTGCAAAGGTGTCTTGGATCGGAGCCTCGCTGCCCGGCCACATGTGCACCGCCGCGCGGATTCCTTGCTTCTCGGCCGTCACCCAGAAGGGCTCTCCTCCCCACCACTTCGGGTCCAGGCTCCTTGCCGGGTCTGTGTGGTGAAACTCGGCATTCAAATCTGGGTCCCAGAATTTGTTTGCGACAATGCCGTGCGACTCGGGGTACAAGCCCGTGGCCAAGGTGTAGTGGTTGGGGAATGTAAGAGACGGGAAGGACGGCATCATGTACTGCGGCGAGATGCCCTCTTTCACGAGGGCGTTGAGTCTGGGCGTAAAACCTCTCTGCAGGAAATCAGCTCGGAAGCCATCCAAGCTAAGAATAATGGTAGTTGGGGCGAAGAGAGCCGTCCCATTGCTGACCAGGTGTTGCTTGGGCAGCCCACTCCTGCGGTTTCTCGACAACTTCCACGCAACCAGGACGAGAATGGCAAACCCAATGGCAATGAGAGAATGCAAAAACACCCATCTGCGCCAACTCCGGCCACGGTTGCCCCTAGCTTGTGCCACCAGATTCAGTCGTCGCCGATCCGCTTCGCCACTATCTTCTCGTTCGCTGCTATCGCCCGTGGAGCTGCCGTCCTTCATGCCACCTTCTTCCATCTCGTACATTAATTCGCCGTCTTCGCCATGGCGAGCATCTTGGATTAGTCTATTCCTCTTCTTTTTTCTCTTAGCGCGTCTGGCCTCTCGCTTCTCGGAAACCAAGTTCTCCGTGGAGGCGCTCGGTGAGGACAGCTGCGATGAGCTCCCTCGGCGGGCAAAGATGTTCAAGGCACTGGGAACCGAGAGCCCGGAGCCCCGTCGCTGGCGCTCTTGTTCCCGTCTGGATGTGGTGACCAAACGGTCAAGTTCCTCCTCTTCCATTAGAACAATCCGATCGGCAGCGCGCAGCTCGCGGCTATTCCGCGCCCGCAGCTGCAGCTGATCATCGTCGCTGTCTGTGTCTTGGTCGCTCCGGGAATGCAGGGACGCTGCGTCGTCGTCGTATGCGATGGGGGAGAGTAGCGATGCGCCGTCACTGCGCTCCCCCTTGGACTGGTTTGTGTCGAGTCTTTTTGGGGGCATCTTCGTCGACTCCAAAGAGCTGGCTACCTGCCGTGCCGGGGGATCATTGATGGAACGTCGATGGCCCAGAGCAGGCTAGATGTTGATGGAGAAGGCGATGTTGGAATGGCTATCTGGCGTCTAGGTTGGGAAATATGGATTGATTAACCAAACCTGGAGGGTCCCAGCAGGGATGTTGGGAATTCTGGGGCAGACTAGCCTACCCGGTATACGAGGCGCAATCCAGAAATCGGTAACCCGACCTCTCAACCATTGGGCTACACACCAAATCGGTGGAAAGTCAGAATTGAGTTTCTGTGAAACAAAAGCAAGTTCTTCTCCTGTTATGTGTAATGTCTGACTGAAATGATGGCCGGGTTCGGATCCCATCGTTGGCATCTATGAGGGCCCCCAGATACGACAACTGGCCTCACGCGCGAGTCGTGATGAAACCAACGCCCAAACAATGAGCCAAGTAATCGCACAACAACCGATGTTACAAGCATCTCATGACAACCCCCTATGCCCTCAACGCACCCCCCTTACTAGCAAACCACCCCTCCGCCTCCCTCCGTCCCTAGCAGACTCGAAATCCACATCCTCCCAAACCGATCAACATCACCGGCCTCGGCCTCGCTCAGCACCTCGCCAAACTGCGCGTCCGTCACCACAAAATGCCTCTTATCCCTCCACGCCCTCGCAAACTGCACCGGAGTCCCCGCGTTCCACAAATGCGCCGACAAGGTCCACGAGAGACAGAGTCCCAGCCTCCCGTCGCACTCTAGACCCTTTTGCCCGGCCACCAACCTATACGCCTGCAGGAAGAAGAAGCAAAACAAGACTGTCCGCCTCGCCGACTCTTGCAATATCCAATCAGCCCAGAAATTCTTGGTGGGAGCCAGAGGGTACAGGGGCAGTTCCCCGGCAGGGAACTCAAGGTCGAAGCGCACATGGGCGAGGAGCCGCATGGCCGATTCCTCGACCTCGGGGATGATGCGCTCCGCAGAGGCCCGCGCCTGGATGTCCCCGTCAAAGAGGCGGATAGCCTGGTAGAGGACGAGGGAATGGGTGTGGGCGAGATTTCGATGACGGTGGTGGGCGCCGGGGAGCAGATGAGGTCTCTGACGCGGAGGTCGATGGCGCGGAAGATGACGGCTGCATTGGCGCGTGTTTTGGCCAGGTAGAGGGCACATGAGGCGTGTGAGTCTTTTCTGGCTTTGTGAATATTGCTTGAAATCGTATGGTGCCCATGGTAGGGAGGTTGTGTTTTTGTAGTGAGACTGACCTTGCATGGACTTGGGCAGCCCATCCTTGTATAAGAGCGGGTGACACCACGGCGTCTGTGTCTCGAGAATCATCAACGATGGCGCCATATTGATCTCGTCTATTGCAAACTGTAGCCTCTTGCCTATAACTTGCTCTATATGTAGGTCTCTTGTCGTTGGTGCCGCCAACGATGCGTTCTGCCCAACTACTTCCATCAACGAATTCTCCATGCTACAGCCCGGCAAAGAGAAGTCTGTTATCCCATATATGACGTGTCGAGATTATCAAAAACACTCATGTCTCCCATCCTTTGGTCAGACTGCATGTTAGGGGCGTTTAGGCATGTAAGCCATGTCGGCGAAATAGTAGTTTCCGCTAATACAGGGGCAACGGGAAGAGTAGTGGTAGGCAAGTTGGCAGGGCGTTGAGTAGCCCGCCGCTCACTCCGCTTGGGGTATTCACAGGCAACATTGCTCTGCGAGCATCTCAGGCAGGCGGGAAGTGCAAAGTCGCATCGTTGTTTGGCTTTGGCTTTGATGCAGGCAGAGCAGGATTTCCGCCGGGAAGGAGGGTCGTTGCGCTCAAGGGCGGTGAGGGAGCAATTCATTCTCCTGTCGGGCCCCAGCGGAATTGAAGCCTCTATGCCAGAATACGAGTGTCAAAGAGTGCAGGTGGATTGTACCATCATGCCATGTAGGTCCAAGAAGAGGTTGAGAGTGAGGCTCTCTGCGGAAATGTGTCCCGGCGAAGTGGGTCGGCGGAACTCCGCCCGGCGGGTTTCGAGATGCGGAGCTGCTTCGAAGAGTTCCCGATTTGGTAATTGGCGGATGTACCTGTGATTACGCTGCTATGATAGTACGGACTCACATAAATTACGGCTCTTGCGTAACGTATAAATCGAGGGATTTTTCCTTTGAAAAGATTGTAAGTTTTTTGTAAATTAATGCGTCAATCCGCAGACATTACACCTGCCTGCGTCTAGGCATGCTGCTCTGCTAAACCAGGCTATGCCATGTCCCGATTAATGAAAATTTTCCAATTATTGGCCCTTTTTCACACAAAGGCCAGCTGGTGGCGCTTTCATACACTTTTCTACAAACAAATTATTCTAGTCACTCATCCAATCACTTCTTCTTCCATCACCCGGCCAAAACAAGACACCATCACCACCACCATGTCCATCTTCATCTGAGGAGTAACCGGCACCCAAGGCTCCGCCATTGCAACGCACCTCCTTACCTCCCATTCACCCCACGCCATCCACGGCATCACCCGCGATGCTTCCTCCCCCGCCGCGCAGAAGCTCATCTCTCTCGACGCCCGCATCACACCCGGCTCCTACACCGAGACCTAAACCCTCGCCGGCGCCCTCAAGCCCTGCCAAGCCCTCTTCCTCAGCCTCTCCCCGTACCTCACCGATCCAGCCGCCGAGCTCGCAACCGCCAAACAAATCATCCAGCTCGCCAAAGCCCACGGGTTCCAGCAAATCGTCTACTTTTCCGGGCTGAGCGTAAGCAACCCCCAGTCCCTGCCTCACTGGGACCCAGAATCCGTCACCGCAACGGAGTTTCTCTCCAAGAAAGCCATCAGGGTGAAGTACGCGCCGCAGGCTTCCGGTACTACACCATCCTGCGACCAGGCAGCTTCATGAGCAACTACGTCCAGCCCCAGGTGCGCATGTACACCGAGCTCGTGGACCAGGACGTTGGCGGACGGCCATGCAGCGGGACACCAATTTACCGTTGGTAAATGCGGACACGATTGGGAGATTTGGGGCAGCTGCGTTTATGGATCCCGAGGATTCGATAAACAGGAGATTGAGCTGGCCGACGAGTTTTCAACGGTGGATGAAGTGTTGGGAAGGTTGGGCAGTGTGACGGGGAGAGACTCGCAAGCGGTGTATATGACTGATGAGGAGATTAATGATGAGAAGGGCTTTAATCCGTTTATGGCTGGGATGTTGATGATGAGAGGCTTGGCAGGGTGTGTGGATTTGGAGAGGGTGAAGGAGTGGGGGATGCCCATGAGCTCGATGGATCAGTTTATTATTAGGGACATGGAGCGTGTATTGGAGACGTATAATAAGCAGGGCGATGCAGTTGATCAGAATTGAGGTTACGGTTGAATACGAACGGGGTGGAAGGTCATTCTGTTTTCTTCTTCTTTCGTGAGCAGGAATACGCCTTGGGTTGGAATTTATACACTCTCTAATCGTGTTTATGCTGCACACACGTCATGCGCATAAGTGTGTCGTGATACTATTTGTCGAGCACTATGTTCAGTCCTTGGCTTTGAGGCCGGAATATCGTGTATCTCATGTAAAAATCGCGCTTCGTATGTCTTCCCAAAACCAACGCCGGTCCCTGAAATCATGATTTCCCATCAGAATCACCATGTATATCTCCTTTAATTCCTGACCCTTGCCATGTATGTGAAGGGAGTTCCGGAGTGTCAAGCCATATACCATTGGATACGTTTGAGCTCTGACGCGGCCAACCGATTGGCATATTAGACAATCTTCGTTGGGTTCCCACGCTCTCACTACGGACACGACCGATTCTGACGGCCGCAGCCTCTATAGCCTGGTTATTCTCGAGAACACTAGAGGTCGAGCTTCTTTTGCTAGTTGCATTGATTACGAAACCGCCCTTCTCGATTATTGGCCTACTTGGAGTAGTACGAGCGACCGCGACAATCGCTGCCTTTGTAGATTTTTGGATGCATTTGAACTGCTCTAGGGGGGGCTTGTCTGATGTTTCATCCACAAAAATCCATCCAATACCAATAATTAGAGCTGCGAGGAGGGCGATGGTTAAAATGGCAGCCCCTGCTTGATCGCCAGCTGTAATTGGCTTGTAGTTTGGAGGCTTGGGTTCATTCCGTCCCATATCACCTCCGCCAAGGCCCGGGTTGCCTTTGCTGGTGCCGCCATTGCCATGACTAACTGGAGCAGGACGATCTTGGATCAAACAAGCAAGTGTCACTTCCATTGCTGCCATCTGCTGGCCAACGCCAGTCGAGCCGTCATATTTGTCCTGGTTCCATTTGAGGCCGCACATTCGTTTGTTATTACCACCAACGCATTGCTTGGCTGCGGCGACGGCTGACGCCCGCAGATATGGCATGACAAAGTCGTAAGTATGAGGCGCCCATTTGGTGATGGCGGCAAGCCAGCGACTGAGGTATGCCTTGAAAGATTGTTGGTCCAAGTTGCAGCGGTCTACGGGTTCGCAGGCAACTTCGGTCATAATGTTTTTGTCTGGCCCGGTGAAGAAGACTCTACTCGCGCTGAGCAGATTATCCAACCTGTCTTTCCAAACAGGATTTTCCGTATAGTTGTACATTGCGGCGGCACCGAGGATAAACCCACCGGCATTGTAAGAAAACTGATAGGGAACGTGATCAGTACAATTAGTACCAATGTGGGCTCCATCAATGACACGCCAGTACTTGTCAATAAACCCAACGTCTATCATCCAATCCCAAGACTTTTCGGCCCATTCCGCATATGAGTTGTTGCCGGTGTATAGAGCAAGTCTTGCGCCGAGTGCGAAGAAGCAAGCTTGTGAAATAGAGTTTTTGTAGTCAAAGCCTTGGTTCCACTTGAAGATCTGCCATCGTAGACCCCCGTTGCAGTGTTCAGTATCCCATCGACCGGCTTGGGTGTTGAATACAGCCTGAGCCAGCGCCAACCACTGTGGCTTATCCGATGGCGGATCGGGGAATTTGTACTCCGCAGCACTCATGACAGCCAACCCCCAAAATCCCTGGTCATCGTTTCCCTCTGTTAATGTCTGGTTTCGAGGCATATAATCATTGGTGTCGCCGACTTGAAACAACAGTGCCTGTTCCACAAGCTTGTTGTACTGATCGTCGCCGGAGTAATACCAGTAGTCTATAAGAGAGCCCATCATTGCGCCGGCCTCCCACCCTGAGATGTGTCAGATAACAAAGATCAAGGGAGAATGGCACTGCAGGACGATATTGGAGATAGCGTTATCGATTTTGACGTACAGTAATAAGGCTGCGGAAGAAGACCGGGAGTTCCTCCAGTTTTGTCGCCATCGTAAAATGTCATGAGATCCGCTGTCATTTGCTTGGCCACGGATAGGATGGATGCTGCGGGGATTCGGGGTCAGATGCGATTATACTTTGCCAAAGGCAAGTGTGGCGGGGATCTAAAGTAGAAAAGAAACATGGGCATACGCACTGGTTGAATTGGTATCTAGCTCGTATGCCAAAGCATGAGGACCTGCCATTAACAGTATTGTTGTAGCCAACATGTTGACTCCAAGTAGAGAGTTGACCATGATGCAGGTGGATGGGGTGTTGAGAACCACGTCGCTTGCAAACGGCGTTTTAACACCGGACAAGCTGGTGCCGGTCCATACACCTAACAACCGTCCACTTCAAGAGGATTGAGCATTGATTGAGGCTGTTGTAGGACAAGTGTAAGATGGTGGAAAGAGGAGTGAAGGAGGGACTCAGCAAAGAATGAGTAACGACGGCAAGAATACCCAAGATGCTGTGGAGACTGAGATGGCGGGCGAGCTGTCTCCGAACTTCAAGCTTAATATGATCTGATGCCGACAGAGCAATTCGTGTGAGTGGGGAAGTGGTGCAGCGAAGTCGCAGATGAGCGTAATGAGCGTGATGAGCGTGATGGGCGTCAACGTTTGTTGGTCGTACAAGAGGAGTGTTAAGAGACGAGGTTAACCGATGGCCCGCAGCCGGTCAATGCCCTCGCTGCCTGGGGGGCGGCCGAGGAACGGAAACAAAGGTGAGCGACAGAACTTGTTTGTTTGCTAAGGACGACTGGATGCTTCAGGTGACAATCAGTGTGAGCGGCATGTGTTCTAAACGCTCAGTGCGGTGGTGTTACTGTTTGATGTAGGCAAGTTTAGAACTTCAGGATGGAATCGGATCTTGATGTCAGCGTCGCTGGCCAGACGGGAGGCTCGGGAGGGCTGCGCGGCGGGATGTCAGGGTTGTGCAACGTGGGGTAGTATTGCGAAGAGCTTGGTAAAAGCAAAGATTCATATGCAGCCAGTGTCGAATGAGAGGAAGGTTTCTAGGTTGGACAAAAGGAGGTAGAAAGGTGGTTGTCTTGATAAATGGCCCATCCGTTGCATTGGGTTTGTTTCTAATATCTCAGCTGGAAGGAAGGAGTGGCCGAGCGACTTCCCGCTCAAGTGTGTACATGCACCAATGCGGATGTGAGTGTGCATTACTACTCCGTACGCGTGTGTACCTATATTAATTGGGCTTTGTCCGGAGTTGGAGAATATACACGGGACTCATTGGTGTGAATTACCTTGCGAATGCCAGAATCGGCATCTGGGGCACACCGCGATCCAACATGTGTGCATGAGTCTATTACGTGTGGACGGACATGAATATACGAACTATGGCAGCTCCATCGAGGCTAAAATATGCATGGCCTTTTACACATCAGCTGCCTTTACGGTGGCACATTAGCTAAGGTTCGCAGTTGCTGCTATAACCCTACATCTAGCATTTTAAGCGATTTAAATAGTTTAAGCGGTTTAAATAATTTAAGCTATATATATAAAGTTAATCTTTACTTTATTAATTCTTTTATATAAAGAAATTAATTATTAACTTAAAATATTATAAGAAAATATTAATTATTATCTTAAATTAAATAAAACTATTATTTAATACTTTTACTTAAAGTTACTTAACTTAAAGCCTCTTTAATTATATAATAAAATAATAAAAGATATAATATAATAAGTAATATATATATAATTAAGTAAATAATAAATAAAATATATACGTATAAGCTTATAATATTGTAAGATCTTACTTAATTTTATTCTTATTTAACTTAATTAACTTATCTTAAGTTTTTAGCCTTTTAATTAAATTAATTAATTATTCTTAAAAGCTAATACTTAATTTTATACGTATATTTACTATAAGTAATTCACTTTAATGTTTATTAAAGTAAAAAG